ACCTACTATGGCGTTATAAGGAGAGGGAATCACGACCACCAGAAACGTGTGCTAGAACCTCGCGATATTTGGCCACATGCCGGCCTCCACGAGTACTGAGACTTGCCCGAGAGGTATGACTTCCTCGCCGCTGAAGCCTACCAGGTGAGTGTCTGCCAGATTTAAGTCGATTTTCTGGAGCTACAGCTTCTCAAAAGTGTCCTTGAATAGTATGTCTGCCGAGCTACCCGAGTCCACCAGGATGCGCTTGACTTCGAAGTCGTTGAGCCWCAGTTTTATCACCAGAGCGCCGTCGTGAGGATACTGGATCCCGCGTGCATCGTCCTCCATGAAGTAGATTGGTTCTTCAAGTTGAGGTCGCTTTGGCGGGTTCTCCTCTTCATTTTGTAGTTCACGGACTGAGGTCCGTTCGGCTGCCGATGTACACCCTACGATGATGGACCCACCAGTAATCATATTGATTACCCTGTGGATCGGTCTCTCTTCGGGCAACTGTCGTGGTGGTTGCTCGTTCTGCCTGTTGTTGGTCTTGGGGGCATTCCTTCTCTGGTCTCCCTACCGGTCTGCTTGCCGATCTGCCTGGCTTCTCTCTTCTCGCTGTATAAAGTTTTTTAAATATCTGCGGCGGATGAGCTCCTCGATCTTGTCATTGAGGTTCCTGTAGTTCTTCGTGCTATGCCCATGGTCTCTATGGAAATGACAGTAGACGTTCTGGTTCCTTGTTGCAGGATCTCCCCTCAACCTGGGAGGCCACTTGACAAAGGAGGAGTCCTTGATGGCCATTAGGATTTCTCCTCACTTAGCGTTGAGAGGTGTGTAATTCATCCCTTCAATAGGTGAGGTTTTGGAGCGTCGACCTGACTTGTGAGCTTGCGAAGGAGATCGGCTTTCGGATTTGTTTCTTCCTCCACTCGGGGACTTACTCTTTCTTCTTTTGTGCTCGTCATTACCTGTGTCATCATTGTCTCTTTTTCTTTTTTCTATCGGGTTGTCAGTCTTCTGGTTTATTTCCTTTTCGGTTCCGATGAACTGGTCGGCTAGCTTGAGGAATTCAGTGATGTCTTTTGGCTTATTGGCCACCACATGCCATTTAAACTCCTTGTGAGTTATTCCTTTCTTAGCTGTCGTGAGTCTTACTGTCGGGTCTAAGTCTGGGATCTGCAAGCAGGTGTCATTGAAGCGCTTGATGTAGCTTCTAATCGACTCTCCTTTTCTCTGAACCACGTTGAGGAGGCTTTCCTGCGACCCCGGGCACTTCTTGCTGGTGATTAAGTGCAAGGTAAACAAATCTGTGAACTGCAACCAGCTCTTGATCGATCCCGACGCGAGGTTCCGTTACCAGGTTCAAACTACCCCCTTAAAAGTGGTGAAGGCCCAGCTAGGTGCATCTGGGACTGGAAGGAGTCCACATGATCATTAGGATCAAAAGACCCGTCATACTTGTCCAAGGGAGGCATCTTGAAATCTTTTGGCATTGCGGTCGCTAAGAGCTCGGGAGACAGGGGAGACGACATGGAAAGTAGGGGAGGAGCGGCCTTTGTAGCTACCAAGCTCTCTTCTTCCTTACCTTTAGCTTGCCCTTCTTGTTGGTTCGGTCTCGTTGGCTGGCTGTTCTGAGATGAAGTATGGCGTGCCTTGCAATGCCTCCATTGCTATCTCTTCACCGGCTCGACATTGGTGCTGCTGATTTCGGTATGCTCCGGTATCGTTTTGCTGTGAGGTAGATCCTGGTTCCTCATGGGATTTTGGGGTTGGCTATCATTGACGGAGTGGCCCTGTCTTGAGTTCGCACCACGAATCCTGAACTGGTTACCTGCAAGCGATCCGTCATTCTCTAACTATGAACGCCGAGGAAGTTTGGCCCTGTGAGGCTGAGTATCCTCGGACCTGTTTCTGAGGTTCCCTTGTGAGATAGGTGGAGTGATCTAACCGTCTCTCCTCCCATAGGGTGAGACCTGACTCCTGGGAGGAACTGGGACTTGGGAAGTCTTTTCACCTCGGTGGGGAGATCGGATAACATCCTGGTTCACGCGAGGTCGGTTCTGATTCTACTGGGCCCCTGGGTGGCGAGGTGGAACCGGCTATTGGCTTTGCGGCAGTGGAGGGAATTGCTGGTGGTACTGCTGGTACTACTGATCCTGCTGCATTTGGACCTGGATGGCCCGGCCCGAACACACTGCACCAGGTCGTTAAACTGGGATTGTCCTACTCCGGGGGGAACCACATAAGGCTCAGAAAAGATTGTGCCTACCACTGGGGGAAGTGGGTTATTCACCTGTATGGTACTCGGTGGCACGGTCAGCATTGGAACCCCAACCGCAGTAAGTGGAATGATGAACTGGTCGATGCACACTAAAAAGAATTGGGGTTGTTGATTCTCAACCTCTGAGGCGGAAGAGTGAACCAGAAGATTGTGAAGGCTTCCATGAGTGGACTACCGGTCCTAGATACACTGAAGTGGTTAACGGCCCCCTTCGTACACCAATATCAGGAAAAGGGGGCAGGTTATACAGCAAGTCAATGGTTCCAAAGCATAGCAAATCAGGGCCTCAAACCCCTGTGCTAATTGCAGGTGAGAAGTGTCTCTACAATGGTTTCTTTTTTGGCGTTAAATTGATTCAGTCTTTCCTATGGTACTTTGGATTGCTCAAAGACAATTGAAATCGAATGATGTTTTAATTTCTCACCTTTCAAAACCTCCTTGTCAAATAAAGCACTAAACTGGATGTGCATGTTTCTAACACTTTTTTTCCACTGTATCTTTGGTTGGTGTTTAAGATATTGTTATTGTAGACATTACCAATGAATTATATGATCAAATTTCTTGCTAGTAGCCTCAAGATACTTAAAGAATTAACTAAAATATAACTAATAAACTAATATTGTCATTAGGTGCTAGCAACAAGTAGGGAAATGGCAAAATGTTGCAACCAGTGATATCATCTGTCATAACTAAGTAGCTAATAAACATAACTGGGTGTATAGTTCAATGATGACTAATTAGTTCTTATTTTTATTTTCACCTGTGCATTTGTGAATCTTATTTGGATATGGAACATGATTTACATCTTTCTTTATATGTGCTTGATTTCAATAATGGTTTTGATGCCATAATATTGGTCCAGATGATTAACCCATTGAACAGAGGGTTGGTCTTAGAATGATGTTTAATTTAAAGTAAATATTTTTCTCATGCAGGAATATGTTGATGCTAAGATAAGTTCATTTGAGAGGAAACCCCATGACTCTGGTTGTGCATGCCGGTTTTATGTAATATGCTATAGAGCCCAAGAACCTCACAGCATGGTAAAGATGACACTTGGGGAAGAAACCAGAGAAGTAAAACTTGAAAATATTGGTATCTTACAGAAACTTCAGAGAAAACCTTCAGAAGATGTCTACAATCGTTGGAGCTATTCTGAAGACTGCTCCTTCATGCGCAGAGCTATACTCCATTGTGGTCAGTTCTCTTCTGATATATCATGGCTACTGGTTGCATCCATTTGGAAAGGACTTGGATTTGATGTCAAAACAGTGCAAAATAAAATGGTCTATCAATTTCTTGATAGTGATCATGACATGTGCCCTCCAAGTTACTTGAACAATGTAAAGACCATAAACTTCCAAATAGATAATGAAGTTATGAAACCCAGTAATATGAACTTTTCCCCTGTGGTTCCTGTAAATACATTTGTTTTAAATGATCCTATGGATGTGGATCTTGTTCATGATATGAAAGAAGATAAGTATTTTTTCCATATGTGCACTTGGTAGCAGGTTGCCAATGTGTGTATATGTTGAAAATATATAATTAGTGGATGTTTTTGAGGTTCTTTTAACATGGGCAGAATTGAAAATTTTGGCTGATTCCCATTTCAYCTTCTAATTGAACCAAACAGCAGGAATCGGAATCTGATTCTGATTCCTGACTGAACCATACAGATGCCAGGAATAAATGCTTCCGACTCCAATTCCTGGGGGTTCTGATTCCAATTCCAATTCCAGTCGCGACCAAACACACCCTTAATCTTTTAATAATCCAAATAAGAATTGTCACATCTATCTATACATGACATCATCATTGTCTCCTTCAGCATTTGCATTATTTTTACACTACTCTCAGCAGCTACCTAATTGTGTAATTGGCATTTAATATGTTTTAACCAAAATCCTATTTAATTAATTAATATGTTTTATTAGTTTGTTCATTAGGCATCTAACCCAACCTCAATTTCCAACCCGTTTGTCCTCTTCTAGTTTGTTTTTTTCTAGCTTTCTTCATTTTTCTTTCCTTCTCTTTTTATTTCAACATGCATTTTGGTTAGCCGTTTTATTATTTTCCCTTTCAATATTCACCTTTCGGCATGAAATGAGCTCGATGTGAATTAACTTATTCTAGGTCCTCTCTCAAGTATCTTATCCATAGAATAATCCACGGTTCATGTACATACATGCTTCTCCTTCGTCCGAGTCCGTCTTCAGTCCAGGCTCTTTTCGTACGCGCACCGTTCGCGCATTTGGAGGATGTTCCGCGTGCCCTCCGAAGTGTGCGACGTTTTCAAGCGTGCGGAGGGGTTTAACCACCATTAGTAGCATGGTTTTTAAAACTGGACTGGATCAGATGGTCGGACCAGAAAATTCAGGAACCGGTCACTTGATCGGTTTCATTTTCCTTCAAAACCGTTAATTTTGGTTAGCAAATCGTTGAATCAACCGGTTAATCGTTAGAACGGTTTTGACCGTTTTTCAATTTTTTAATTTTTTCTAATTTTTTTTATTTTTTTGTCAGAACAGGCTGGTTGTTCGGATCGAACGGTTGGACCGTTCGAACGGGTAATCGGACCCCTGACTGGTTTGGTTACCGGTTCATTTTTAAAAATAGGTAGTAGTCTCTACCGTTAGTGGCTAAACCTCCTCTCCTCTCCTCTACCAGATGAGTCCAAATCGCACACTCGCTCCTTTCCGCCCGGCGGCGATTGCAAAACCATCACCGTCGGCAACTACACAACTATCACCGGCGGCGGATCAAGAACCTCAAGTATTATGTTTTTGCATCCCATCTCTCCTTTACGCCGACAATAGCCCAATAGTTGTACCAAGTTCCGATGTCGCATGCGACCGATGCTAACTACCTTTGTCACAAATTCTTTCATCCCCTGTCTTGACTCGTGGGAGACTCTCTTCACTGCAACTTCGGTTTCAGAGGTGGGCAGTATACCTCTATAGACCCTGCCAAATCCGTCGCTACCTAGAAGTTTATTGTCTCTGAACCCCTTGGTGGCAAGGTAGAGATCCTTGTATTTGAATCTGTGAGGCCCGTACTCCATTTCCCAATCTTCAACTAATTCCACGAACTTTCTCTTCTTGCCACGATAAATTGGACTCTTTAAACCACGGTGGACACAAAAACTACGATAACAATCGGCAACCCAATTGTCAAAAACTTGGATTTCTCCTTCGGTCCTACTAGAGGAAGCTTGGGAAGTTGAGAGAGTGAGTTTTTTTGCTGGTCCGTTCAGATTAAAGCCCCATCCCAACACGTAGTGAGAGGATGAAAATCCAACGTACATGGGGTCTTTCATGATCGGAGAAAGATCGATTTTCAGTGACAGGAGCAGGATATCAGGTTTATCTACGTTAATCAGAGCTAATGTCACATTAATCTGCTTTTCCCGGCCATTATATTCTATCCAAAGTTGCATAGGCTTTAGGTTCTGACCGACACCAATATGATCTGTATAATAGGCCAGGGTGGATACAGAAGAATTTAAACTATTTATATCAATACTGACATGATACCGTTGATATTAGAGAACTCTTTGCTCTAGATGGTATTGATCTCAACGGCGACAACATGGTTGTTCAAATCACCATTAATAAGTATAAAGGGATTGAGGCCAGACCAGCACATGTTTTAGCAAGATAAGTCTTCCCCCTACAGAGAGAAACCGACCCTTCCAGGAATCAAGCTTTGAACTGATATTAGATATCAAATCATCAAACTTAAAGCTCCGTGCTTTTCCTTTGTGAATGGATATGCCTAAATATTTTCAAGGAAGAGGCTGCTTATTAAATCCTAAGGTGTTTCTAATCACATTGCACCTTGCTACTGAAAGTTTATTGTAAGTGTAGGAACTTTTAGCCATGTTGATTTTTTGTCTAGAACATTCTTCATAGCTTTTAAGAAAATTCATAACTCACAAGAGAGAACTTCTCATTCCATTCGTAAAAGATTATTGTATCATCAACATACAGAACAAGGCTAGGTTCTCGTAAAAAAGTTTCATTAGGCCTCTTGAGAGTACCTCCTCTACAATGATTAAGAGATAGGGGGAGAGAGGGTACCTTGTCTTAAACCTATGGATGATTTGAAATAGTCATATCAAGTTTCACTGAGAACCAACAGTTGCAAATGATTTTTTTTTTTTTTCCAAGAGAAATCCACTCTTTCGAGAAGCTAAACCTCTGAAGAACAATGAAAAGAAACTTCCAATCTAATGGGTCATATGCTTTTAACATGTCCAGCTTAAGAACAACATTGCCACCCCTAACCGGCCTATCAATTTCTTGAATCAACTCTTGAAACAAATCAATATTGCCCATAAGGCTGCATTTGTTTGAGGTGTAAATTCAAATTTTACATCTGAACCGGTTTACTGATGAATGTAGATTGGGACCGTTGGTTTTGAAAATTTACACCATTGGTGTTTGGTTTTCTAAGGTGTAAATTAAAAAGCGGTTTGATAAGGTGAACAAATTGGGTCTTGAGGGAACTCTGATAACCACCGCGAGCGGCGTATCAGACCCAGTCACGGCAAGCAGCGTACTAGACTCGACAGGATTTGCATTGGTACGCCGCTCACCGCCGTCAGAACTCTGATACGCCGTGACCTGGTTCTGGACGGAACTCTGATACGCCGCTCGCCACTCACTGCTCACTGATAATGTCGAATAGGATCAATCTCCTCGGGAGATCTACGATCCAATTGAAAAACCGGTAGGATTTGAGGAGACGAGTCCCTTTGCGAGTCGTGTAAAGGATCTCCCTCATTCAACAACCAATGAACAAGCATCAATGCCTTGAGAGCCACGATCTAGTCCCGTGTCTTCCCCAGCCGCCTCGACACGGTAGCAACACAGGCATTGACGTACCCTCTGGAATAAGAAGTCAAGGTCAAGATCTCTCTGATATACTTCTCGTTGGTCAGATCATTGTCATTACTCGTCGCCTTAACAATCGCCACTTCCAAGTCCGGTGTCGTATTATTGGTGACCTTCGCCAATCCGATACTCATATGATACTTAACGGCTCTTATCGCCTTTCTGATGCTTGGTGCCATATCCACCACCCCTACCACTATCAACCAAGACCTATTACTTATCCACTTCTTTCCTACTCAACTTCTTAAGATCTAAAATAGAAACCTTTGCAGATTATCAATTGGGAACCAATCCACCACTCCGCTTTATTTATTTAAACTCTTTGAATAAAAAAAAGAAACAGAAGTACTCAAAATGGAAGCAAGTGATTTCGGCTTCCCTCGATCTACGCTAAGGAGGATCCGATCTATCAATAGAAACAAATACCAACTGATTGATTGGCCTCAACGCAACGGGAACGAGGAGATCGAAGATGATCACAAGATTGAATCAGAATTGGATTGGAAATCCAGTTTTACACTTCTACCCTTTACCGCTCATCGCTCATTGATAATGTCTTCGGAGAAGACAGTGAACAGGACAGGTCGTAGGTAAGAGAAGAAGGAATAAAAGAAGAAAGAGAAGAAAAGAGAGAGGGAGAGAGAGAGAGAGGCGGGAGATGGAGTGAATCTAGAGTCTATAATGCATCAATYTAGAGTCCAAGACACTAATCATATCTACATGTTATATTTTAATATTATATCAATTATTTTTTATTTTATATAATTATACTTTTTTAACATTTCAAAAAATCAACTAAATATTAAATTCTCAAATGCAAATTAAAATATCAATTAACATTTCTAAGATACATATCATATACAAATTCATAATTTTTAATTACTAAAATAATTAATTATTCTATTATTAATATTTTTATTTTTATAAATTTTATGAATAAAAAATCATTTTTGAAACATAGTAGATTAATGGATTTGATAGATTCAATTTAATATTATATTCTTCAATATTTTGTAAACAATATTTTTATTTTTTGTAAATAACAAATGTGTTGTTATTACTTATTAATGTCAATTAAGACATTAGCTAATAATTTGTAAAAATATTTAAAAAATTTTAGAATGCATATCATTTGAAAATTTATAAATTTTAAGTATTAAAATAATTATTATTATTAATATTTTGTTTATATAAATTTCTTGATATTAAAAATCATCTTTTTATATAAATATAGATTGATAGATTATTTATTCTATTAGTTTATAAAATACCATTTTTAAATATTATTATTTTGAATTTTTAATTAAAGTTGTTAAATATAAACATGTGTGTTTTGTTTAATTTGCATGTGGACACAAAAGTTAATAAAATTTATTTTATTTCAATTACTAACATAGTTTAAATTGTGGTTTGGTGGTCTAGAGTTGTAGTGAAGGTTGAGTGTATCCTAATCAATATTTAAATCTTACACAATACTTAAATGCTTACGTCCACTACTTAGGAGGTTTTAAAAAGGAGTTCAAATATGCTACTAACAAAATACTTACAATAGTGTCCTGACCAACCATCACAATTACACATCAAGAATATTTCCCTATGAATGATAAGGGAGATGTTCCCAATGTGCCATTCCAGTGACTTGTTAGGGAGTGTTTTGTTAGTAGCATATCCCTAACCTTTGAAAAGTCATTGTGAGTTTAATAAAAATTCCAAGTCATGATGAGTTTTAGATAATACCCCATATCTTTATTGGGAATACAAAATGTCTTACAACCTCTCTGCACCCTTCATGAGCGTCTCTTGTATTGGAGAGACACTTAGTATTTTCTCCGTTATCTATCACTTCAGACCAGAGACTTGAGTGAGAGATTTCATAAACATTTAGAGGAGCTCACAGGATGTTTCACATTCTCATAGGTTTGTTTCCATGTTTGATATGGGTTGTGTTTTTAGTTTTGGACCTTTAGGAATGAAATTTTAATGTTCTTAAGTCTGATAAATTGCAAAAACCATTTTTTGTTTTATCAATTGAACTGCAACGGAATCAAGTGAACCACATCTCCTAAGTACATCCCACTAAAATTACCTTTTGCCTTTCTATTACCATGTTAGGAGGAATAAACAAAAGAAAAGAGAGAAGAGTAAATTGTGAAAAAATAGTAAGAATGATGGCAGCACCCTCACATTACTTTAAAAATGGTGAAAAAATAGACAAATGCAAGGAGATCAAGGTAAATTGCAAATTAATCCTTAACAGAAAAGTAAAATTGTAAACTAGCCATTTCTCATATAACATTCTCTTCTGCATCCAAGTATCGGTTAAAGCTAAAAATCAAATTTTTTAGGGATAAGTAGACTGCACTCCACCTCAGAATTTTGAGTTCCATTGCAAACCTACAACAATTCAAAATTTTAAACACCACCTAAACACCAATTCTCGCTTGTGTATTGGCATCAATTCGGAGTTGGCACCTACCCCAACAGTACGATGGAGATAAGATTTGTGGGGGTGGACTGAATAGTAAAATCCCATTTTTTTACCTTTTACTTTCTTTATAAATTAATTTATTATCTAAATACCAAAGTTCAATGTTATTGAATGACACCTAAGAAGATAATATCTACCCAAAATAGCCACGCCAACATACCCAATTGGCTCGGGGTGGCCATGAGCTGAGCTTTTCACGAGCTATTCGAGCTCGGCTCATGAAAAGCTCAGCTCAACTCAGTTTAAACCGAGCTTCGAGCCGAGCTCAAGCCTAATATACAGGCTCGTTTGCTAATCAAGCCTAATATAATAAATAAATAATTTTGTATTATATACATATAAATATATAAATATATATAATAAATATTTTTTATATATAATATTTTATTTTAATAGTAAATAATTTTTTATGTAAAAATAAAAACATTTTTATATGTATATATATATATATTTTTTTTATATATATAATAATAAATAATTTTTATAATTCCTAATTTTTAGTATGTAAAATAAAAATATTTTTATATGTATACTTTTTATTTTTTTAGAAAAAACTTGGCTTGCAGCCAAGCCAAGCTCGAACTTGTGAGATTTGAACCGAGCCAAGCTTGAGCCTAACACAGTTTCAATGAGTCGAGCTTGAATAGCCAAGTATTCGCCTTGGCTCACCTCGAACTCATCCCTACAATTGGCCAATCCCCACATATGGAGTCAGGGACACAACATTTTCACCTGTGGATACCATTTGAACATTGGCATGTGCAATTGCTCTAGTACTACAAATATATATAAAATCTTGGGTTTTCATTGTTCAATCCACCCGATAAATTTAGTACAACTTGTACAATTGAAATAATGATATGTGGGGGAATGAAGGTGTGGATAAATAAAATTGAAAAATGAATAAAAGTTTCTAACTGAACTCTAAATTTCTCTAAAAATATTTCAAACGCTTTTCTAAGAGAATTGGTCATTTTTAATTTGGCTTGATAACTATATTTTCATTTTAAAGTAGTGTTTTCAATTAGTTGTTGACTTGACCAGTTGAAYCGA